CCCCGCCCTACCCCCATGGGAATCATGATTTTAACAATATATATCTACACTTAAGGATGCTTCCACATTATTCTTTCATGGCCCAGTACTGAGAAGAAGATTTTTAAAGATTTGGCCTATATAAATGTAACATTAGATATATCGGAAGTCATGATTTTATCAATTATCACTATTAATTTTCTTCCTGCGTAAGTTTCGATTAATCCCGTTTCTTGAGAAGAAGAAGAGTGACCCCACATCCCACACATTTGTTTTATATTTGAATAATGTCTTCAGAAAGGGAAAAACGGTCAAATGGTTGATGTGGATACCTTTAAAAAAGGTATTTTACCGTAATACAATGTATATTCAACAACCAATCAAATCGTACATAAACACGTGTTAAGCCGAAACATGTGTTGTGAGTACTAGTATTTCAAAACACCATGATAAAAAGTTCCATAATTATGTAAATATTCATTGCAATACGTGACACGAGTTTTTCAAGAGCGAAATCCCTCTCTCTTTTTTTTACCTTATGTGTATGCCTGAGTCAAAACCATATTAAAAGACTGAAAGATATTTTAGTGTGCATCAATATTTTCAGAGAAGAAAAACCAAAGATAGAAAATTTTGTACCCTGTTATTTTATTTTGATAATTTAAAATACAGTAACATTAAACAAATTCAATATGCAATTATAGCGTTTAAAAAGTTGTAACCAAGTTAGGACATTTAAAAGGTTAATTTGACGTAACGTCATTGTGTATCAACACCGTGCGCAACGTCACAACTACCAATTTATTGAATTTAAGAGAGGGTGTCATAAAGCATTGGGACGAACATTTCTTCTTTTCATACTCGTCTCTATACGTGTTTTACATTTCGGTGTTGCTACATGTAATCGCAGAGAGGGGTATGTCCTAAAGCATAACGAGAAATATTTCTTTCCTGTTTCTTATGAGATGGACGTGTCATTATGTAGTACTAACAATTGACATGCACTCGATAAGAAGACCCAAACGTACCATTCAGTCAAAAAAATATCACTTGAATGTGCCTCGTTGTAAATACTGAAATCCAAAGTCGAATCTTGACAGTTGTTTTAATACAAATTTGAGATCATTGCTTTCGCACTGATTGTCTGCAGGATTTTTCAATTTATCTGATTATAACAAGACAAGTATATGACAGGACCTCAGAGAATGCTTGCTCCTTCATGGCGCCTAATCCTACCTTTAATGTTTCAGAGGTCCGTATACATGTACTGTTCTGCTCTTTATATTAATTGTTCTTACTAGATAAAAAGACCCAAATTTATGTACCATAACTAGCATGAAAACTGCATGTTCGATATCTGTTTATGACCTATCGACAGGGGATGCTGAATCCTCCCAGGCACCTGATCCCACCTCTAAAATTCCCTGGAGATCCGTTTTTATGCCCTTTTTGTATTGTTTAAGGATGTTTTTTTTTAGATCGATCACTGTTCGCTGTCTTCAACTTGTATGACTCCCTCTAAGATGTTCATTCTGAGTTTGCAAATATAACATATTGTTTAGAGAACAATATTGACAGAGGCAACAACTTATAAGAATGGGGCTTAAAAATAAATTGATGTTACATGTAATACTATTCTTCGAAAATATCATTTAGAAAATACAAAGAATATTACAATTGTTTAAATATTTTAAGAGCTTTTATTTAGAAAATACAAAGAATATTACAATTGTTTAATTATTTTAAAAGATTTTAGCAAGGAATGTAGCGTACCATCTTTTTCACAACTTATAAAGAAGAGAAATCAATTTTATCGTTTTATCACAACTTCGGAATAAAGCAGATTATTTTAATCTTTTTTTGACACTTTATGCTTGGCAACATTACAAAAAACCTTCTGTGCACAAAATATTTTACTCTTATGCGTAAACATGACTACCTTATTCCTAAAAATAAATAATTTCCAAGCATGTTTTGCAGAGAGTTACCAAAAAGATATATGTAAATATTACAACACTGATACCCATTAAACACTGCATTCTTTGGAGTAAACTACAGTCTGTCTTAAATATTGGTTTCTTTTGTTTAAAAGAATACCGGTCTTGTAGAGTGGGATTCTCCGTTGAAATCTTTCCCAGTGGAAAACTGACTCTAAAGTAGGATTTCTCCCGGAAAGTACATGTAGGCTCTAGAATATTGAAATTCCCTATGGAAAATTGACTCTCGAGTAAGATTTACCCCCGAAAAGTACATGTAGGCTTTATAATATAGAATTTCCCCTTGGAAAATTGACTCTAGAGAAGGATTCACTCCAACGAAATCCCACACCAGATTCAGCTTTCCGTGGGGGAAACCCTGCAGTGTATAACACACTGTTGCAGTTATAGAGTTATTTCCCCTTTAAAATATCATGGCTGAAATTATATATTAGGGGGAAGGGGGCGCATTGTAACAAAATGGCGACCAGTTCTATTGCAAAGTGCAGAGTATATATTTTTTTAATCATACTTCTCAGTAATCGTCAAACAAATTTTGTGAAACATTAAAATCATTCTTTGCAAAATGCTAAACAGTATATATTTTTTATAAATCATACTTACAATTGTATTTCAAACCAATTTTGTGAAACCTTAAAATCTGAACAAACTGGTTTCTAATGAATAAATTTTAACTGTATCTTAAAATTTCTTTTGAAATTTTGCAAAACTTTTAGATATTATATGCTATCAGCTTTCAGATCCGTCATGTCCGACGTTTGCTGGGCTTGAGGGGACATACGTATGTTTCGGCTTACCGAAGCAGTGTTTCTTGACGTAAAGTTTGGTTTTTGGCTTTTTCTCTTTGAATAACTAATCGATTAAAATACTTGCAAAATGGTACTTAGAACGTATCAATATCATTTTTTTTCTCACACACTCTTTGTAAAAGGGTGAAATACGGAGCCTTTATGGAACAAACAAATATTAAATCATAAAAGCTGCCCGGATATAATTTTAAAATCAAAGAGCAGTCAATTAATTTTGAGTGATTAATTTTACGATTTCCAACAAGTTAATTTTTTGAGCTGATATTCAATAACTTGGATTAAATATTTAAAGATTTCATGCCAAACTTGACAGTTCTCGAGTCGCAAACACATTCTCATTAAACTTTTTGCCACAATAGTGTCGATATGATTTACATGTAAACAAATAAAAAAAGAGTGCAGAAAAATGACCCCGTAGTAGAATCCCCCCATTGAAATCCCACACCAGATTTAATTTTCGGGGGGGGGGGGGGGGTGGGGGGGGGGGGAGTAATGGATTGTTTTTCCTTTGTACGATCGGAATAATTTTGTAAATGGCCAATGTGTAAATTAATTTTTGATTTATATATTTATTTGAAAAACGGCTGTTTATGATGACAAAAAGACTGGACTTAAATTGATCGTTAAGAATAGTTGTATTAAGTGTTTAAAAATTTTATGTTTTCATTTTATGTGATTTGCAATTAATAAATGTTTGTGGTTTCAATTCTTTTTTCAAAATAGAGTTTTATAAATTACATCACTGAAAACATGTATATAAAATCAGTGCTATTATATTTTACTTTTGAGATGGAAATGACAACATTTATTGGAAGACTATTTTATCAAATATCGATATAGTTTTCCTTTACTATTTCGATCTAGATGGCCATCTACATATTGTTCATCTCAATGTAAATATTAGATTTAATAATTCTTCAAGTGCATTTGCTAGCTATGACCTAATGATATTAGTAGTACGATTCTCAGGTAACCTTACTTTCGAGTACCAAAGTCCTTTCAAACAATACAATTCTCATTGGTTAAGAAATTGATAACATCAGAGAAATTGTTGTTACTGTAATCGTATTATACCTCTTGTAGCAAATGTGTACGATATTTGGCGGAAATTGTAATTTTCAACAAGTGAATGAAAGGCTGTGTAAATTTTGATTTAGCGCTTTTTGAAAATTGCTATGTTACATAAACCTTTATACACAAATTATTTAGCGATGTACTTGATGAAATATGCGGAGGCTGCTTTCGAGCCAAAGTCCTTTCAAACAATACAATACACAGCCTAAAATTCAATACGTAAAATGTACAGTATAGTGAGCATCCCCTGCCGCACGGTCACACCCACGGGGTGCTCCATGTCATGATCGGCAAATAACGTGAAAATCCGTAGACAATTCAGTGCTTAAGTAATGGCCTAACAATTAGTATGAAAGACATCTGTAATCCTTCGACTTAAAATATAGATTGTATTTGCTGACAAAGTCATTGTATCCACCATTATGATAGAACTTACGGAGAGATGACTTACAACGAGACTGTTCTCGTTTCATCAGCTTGTTTGTCAATTTATCATGGCCGGACACCTTTCAACATAAATGTAGTGTAATCAAACTTGCATATGAAACTATTGATATTTTTATTAAACTTTTTGATATATTGATCAGAGCTATTCCACTGCATCAACATTTTTTTATTCAACTGCAATTTTAAAGACATTTTTGTGTAATCAAACTTCATATGATGATACATACTGATGTCAGGTATTCAACTGCATTGACATTTTTGGACCTTGACCTCTCCTTTGACCTTGACCACAGTTTTCTTATATTAGTGTTTAGCTCAGTTTTTAAGAGACCATTCAAAACATTTATCAAACTTAATATGCCGATACATATTTGTGAGAGCTAGACCTTATTTCTCTTTAATTTTCATTTAGCTTGGTATATAAAAACCGATCAAGATATTTTTATGCAAATTTATGCACTTAAACATAATTTGTTGAAAATTTATCATCCATATCCATTTTTTAGATTTCTGTTTCAATTATAAAGAAACTCCTCATGATATTCTCATCAAACTTCATATACTTAATGATACAAATGTTCATGTTGCATCTCCAATCTCGGTGGGGCATTCATGCCCTATGGACATTTTTCTAGTTTTCAATATATATTGATATATGTAAAGATTATTATTAGTGAACACATGTACATCAATGTTCAATTTTTTAAAATTTTATTTAAACTGAGCCATGAAATGAACATTCAAAAACAAAAACCTTCAAACAAGTTACACATTTTACATAACGAAACATAAGAAAAATTCTTGACAAAAAAATAATAGTAATACAATCTCAAACATCACTTTTTAACTTCACCAGCATGATTTTTTACCCGTCGTGTGCTATATCTTAAATACATGTAGTCTAATTTATTGAATCGAAAAATACTTTAATATTTTTCTGTTAATATAAAATATATGTAATTCTCTAAAACGTACAATATGGTAATATCCTCATTATATGGAAAGTCCACTGGCCAAAATATCTCGAACATGAGATAATTTGCTCTTCTAATTATTTCAACAAGATCCCATAGCATACAGGTTCAAAATAATTAAAAAGGTAACAAAGAAAATGTTTTACAGGTATCCATATAAGATGGACATGCCTTGTTTAAAACGCCCCCAAAACGTGTGATAACATTATCATAGGTCCGCCATTCCGTTTTGTAAATCAGGATTTGGCGAGTCTGAACATCTTAAAATTCATTTTCTTTAGGTACTTTTTGCAAAGCTTGGTTGACAAGATGTGGTTCAGGGTAAAATATTATATATATATGAATTTTTCACATAGATAACACTTAAAAAACTTAATCTTAAAGTGGAATATAGAATTTCAACTGCAGAGAGGAAATAAACAATAACAAAATTCTCTCAATTACACAGGTGAATAGTTCTTGAAGAATGTGGCACAACAAATACTCTGGAATATATGCCCTATATTTTCGCCAGCACTGCATTTTGTACTAAAATGTACAATCAACAATTCATGAATTTTACTTAAAGCCATATCATATCAAAAATGCCCTTCGTTTTTTCACAAAAATATGTAAAATTCTAATTTTTTTTCTTTTAAAAATGTCTCAAAAACTAGAACATTTGTTTTTAAAAGACAGGGACATCTCTATCGTTTCAATTAAAGTACAAATATTACAATTAAAACATGTAAATGAGGATGAACATGATTGCTTGTGATTCAAACGACAAGTTACATGATGAATAAAAATAACTGACACATTCGTACCGTGATTTTTCTTGCTAAACAAGTGATACATTACATTAAACAGATGGTTACCCTATCCAACTGAATGATTTCTACCACTTAAGAAATACTTAAGCTCAAATCCAATACCATAAAGAGAAACACTTAAGATTGCCAAGGCCACTGAATATTGAAGCTCGGTGCCCACAAGTCAAGGGATCAGCGTTTTATCCAGAACAGTGCGGTTCTTGCTTATTGACTGGTATATGATTAATTAACCAAAAAAAGGGGATACTACCGAGTCAAATCAATATACATGTACATCTATAGAGTAACACCGGAGATCTAGAGGAATCACTTTACTTTGACAGTCACTTTGGCTGTATAGTCACTTTTAAAAAAAATGAAAATGGTATCATACAATAACAACTAATCTTCATACCAATTTTTAATTTTTTTTACAATTAATCGCCCCAATTAATTTCTACCGAGTGAAAAAATTGAGCATCTTACTTTATTAGGTTTATTAATAAAAGAGGTGCACCATATTTTTATTTAATAAATAAACCCATAGAACGCGATTTTAGATTTTTTTTTCTTTGGGAGAGGACCGCGACCTTTAAACGATTATAGTACATAGTATATATACTAGCAAAATTATCAACTGTAAATAAGTAAAAAAAAAAAATTACCAATGTAAAATATTGGAGGCACTCCCGGGTACGAAGTCAAATGTTTCTATCGAAAGCCTTTCTGGCGACAAAATAAAAATGACTAATTTCCTTCTCCGTCATTTTAGATTGATATCAGTTTACATAAGCTCCACGAGGTGAAATGGTGAGAGTAAGCCAGTCCTCACAACATGAGGTCATTGTACAAGGTATATGTATTTAATATACAACTACAGTACTTAAAAATTGAGCATGTAGATATATTGGTGAGGTATCTCGTGTTTAAGGCATGAGGAATTCGTATTCATATATACCGGGATGCATCTATTTACAACATATGAGATACGCTTGTGGAAATGACACAGAAATATATTGAGTATACATCTTATAGATGAGCAAGGCAATTCACAGCGAACATAAAAGATCCATCATTATATTTTTGATGAAAGAATATGTTTCATATAGTCGTCTGGCGGCAAAACAATAATTTCGTCCTCTCCTGACGCTCCCGGTTCTTGGTGTTTAGAATCTATGTCAGTAACATTGTTATTAAATTGCTCCTCTTCACTTCCGGTAAACTTCTCCACACTTGACACATTGAGTGGAGCCTCCACAACGTCAGTGACGTTCGTACTGTTGCTGTCGGCGCTTCGCTGTTTTCTGTAAGAACGTTTTGACGGTTTCGACTTTTGACAGCTTGTGCAGTTAATAACCTCACTAAAGCTTCTGCTAAAGTAATATGAAAACTTATTATATATTATTGGTCTCGCTGCCAAGTCCACTAACGAAACACATTCCATTATTTTGTCCACTTTTTCAAGATTGAGATATTTTTCGAACTCGTCCTCGTACTCTAACACTTCCGATGGTGGTGTGTTTGTAAGCAGTTGCTCCAACCTTCGAGATTTGTAAAATGTTATCATACGAGTAATTTCATATGGTAGTTTAAACACTGCCCAAATCAAAATCAGTAGAGTAACCATTCTCGATAGTCGACGCTCCCTCCTCGAGTAACTCTCTGCGAAAAACTTTTTCGAAAAGTAGTAAGTTAAGAAATAAACCACAGCAATGACTAGAATAGGCAAACCGTAGGAAAACGTCAGTCGTAACCACTGGTTCCGTTCTGTTGTAGTTTCTAAGTCTGTGTCAACTTCAACACACACTCCCATACTCTTGGAAGACGTTTTTATCCCCGGGATATTCATCAGGGGAATTACTACCCAAATTATCAAGGATCCTATTACGGCATGCTTCACGTAAGAATGCACATGCATTCGGTCGTTCAGTAAAATGCAACGGATCACGCTCAGTCCAACTAAATGACAGGCCGCCACATACATGCTTACGTCACTCAGATAAGACACTGCTTTGCACCAATCTGCAGTTAAAATTTTGCTGCCATTTTTTGTCCAAATTATAACAAAATAGGGTGCTCCAAAAATTGCACGAACCATGTCTGCAACGGCCAATCCTCCTATAGCTACATACATGGGAATTTTGGGATACTTAAAGAAGATCAGAGTTCTGATAACGAGCAGATTTCCGAAAACACAGATGACACCTACGATGACAACGAGAACACATCGTATGATGACAACGATGTCTCTTTTGTCCGTGTCTGTCTCTATGTCTGAATCCATTCTGGAAGTGCGACCACTTTAACTCATCTCTGAAATATAAAGAGAACGGCTTTATATCTTACGTATTCTAAGCCAATCGATATCTCTGAGAACCAATTCCATTGGACGCTCCGTGACCATTGACAGACATTCATGTTTTTCCTCATGGAGATTTTCAAAAACATTAACTTTGGCCTTAGAAAATGGAATAAAAAGTTGTCATTAATTTCATTTAATGTTCTGATTCAATATAATAAGTATATTTTTTAAAAAATAAAATTAAAATATATATTCACGTAGGAGGAAATTAATTAAAAGCATCGACTATAATAAATGTATCATTTGTAAACGGAAAATCAATAATGGTACAGAAGTACCTGTTGAATTTCATTTATATAACAGTTATGAAAAGGACCAGCTGTAAGATTTTTTTTTTCTGTTAAAAAATAGATTTGTTTACGCTTATGTATTCTATTAATCGGCTTGGTGTAAAATGCGGAGGATGGAGTCTCCACAATGACTCCAAAATGGAGGGTCAGAGGGTGCAAGGGGTGGAGTCTCTTGTGTCAATTTTAATACATTTGCCCGTTTTATCTTTCAATCATTTTAGAAACTGAATACATTTGGGTTGCTTGTAGAGCTCTCCATCGGTGATCAAAAGTGCCTGACAGAATAAATTACTGAGTCTAGATACCGGTATGTCCTAAAAAATTTATTGCAGAAGATACAATTAAATGACAACTGAAAATGAAATTTAGCAAAAAACAAAAAAAAAAAAAACAAAACAAAACAAAAAAAAAAAAAACATCTTTTACCTGAGAACCTTTGACCATTCTGTTCTTTACCAGATTTCCCCCTTGTAATACATTATGCATCCCCACCCTACCCCACTGATCATAATCAAGACATTTTGAAATCTACACTACCCCATAACATGACTTTCTGTTATATCAACAACAAATGAGGGGACAAATTTTCTTCTGTACTCTAATATAATTTTTTTTATCTTTCCCTAGAAGTTTAGGTAATCTAGCCCTTAGCAATTTTAACATTTTGCCCTTCAGATATTTGATACCTATACTAATAAAATCTGTCAAGACCTCATGGGTTACTGCGAGATAGCAGTGTGAATCAGACAGTTTCCATTGCACTTAGCATCTGTTATACCTCATAACAAAATTTAAATCAAAAGCACAGGATACATGCCCCTCAGTTGTTTCTCATATCTATAGGTCAGTTTGATTCTCATTTTGTTGTTTCTTTATCATGTTGTTTGTTTCTCATTCTTTTTAGAGCAATAAAATAAAGTAAAATAAAAACAGTTAATGGCCAGAGTTCTCTAATAAAACAATCAATTCATTTACTGTATCTATTAAGTAATTATTTTTAATTTTTCTAAAATGTTTTTGTGTGCAATAGATAATTGGGATAATATTTCTGAGTAAATAATGACATCACGGCACATTTCCAACATCGGACAGTGTCTTCGACAGCAATCAGATATTTCAGATGGTAATAGTGTTTTGTAATGAGGCCGATATTCATTGACACCTTTATTTACATATCAGTCTTTTTACATACATCTGTATATAATATCACCAAAAGATAATAATTTTGTTGCTATTCTGTTGCAGTCAGTCTGTTATCTTTAGAAATTAACTAATCAGCAAAGCAGCGTTCCCCTCGTTGAAATCTGGTGTTCATTATTTTTTTTTTTACTGTTTCCTGTTTCTTCGTTTCTGATTTAGTATTTTATGGACTTTATAAACAAATGTCATCAGATACTGTCAAATGGTCATTACAAAATCAGGTTGGGAGATATAACTGAGTTTCATTCCCTCAACTTCGATGGATTTTTTTTAAAATGTTGGTAATGTACTCTAACATATTCTCATGGGGTGTCAGAAAATGAGATGACAGATCTAATAAGCACTATGCTCCACCTCCTTCATCATCTTACACAAGAGACTCCACCCTTTGCACTCTCTGTCCCTCCATTTTGGAGTTTTGTGGAGACTCCATCCTCCGCATTTTACACCAAGCCCTATTAATCAACCTATTTCTGCTTCGGAATTTTCATTCAAGGCCTCTATACTGGGATGAAGAATGTTTGTGACATTGAGAAAAATACATCGCATAGATTGCAAATATTGAGTTTATCTTTTATTAACATAAGGTACAATTTAAAGACCCCGGGGAAAAGTGTTTAAAGACAACGAGATAAGAATGAATAAAAATCGTTGTTCGTTATCTAAAGTGGTAAACGACATGCAAATGAAGAGTTCAAGTAATTTAACCCGACCTAATAAAATTTGAAAAATTAAGGAATTGATTAAAAATTGACTGAAACATATCAGATTCCAGGTTATTGAAGTTTTAAATGCAGTTCACTCTAAATGCGTAAAAATAAACCAGGGAACTGGAATATTTCTTTGTGTGGAGGATCCATAAATGCGTAAATTGCGTTTTTTAAGAGGGCTGGGTGGTTAAGGCCATTTTCAGACTATACAGATCTCCTTTAGAAGAAGAGCTCCATATACATGTAAATACATGTATATATAAAAGTGATCAGATTTTAAAACTAAAACGATATGAATTTTTTTCTTTGCCAAATGACAGTTGACAGCTTAAGATATCATATCTAAAAAAATAAGTAAACTGTTTAACCCCCAGCCCCCTTAAAACAACGGTATTAGAGCAGAACATTTTGACTGCATTGCATTACAATAAACTGTTTACATTGCAATACTATTAACTTTACATCCTTATTCCCGACAAATTTATCATTATACTATACTCATTAATGTTCATTCGATATTTATCGCTGACTTACCATGCAATACCTTACATTTGAATTTATCATTGCTTTACTTTTCAATGTGTGTTTGTGGTTTGTATGTGTTTCGACAATACATTACTATTCATTACTCTTGGAAGAAATCTTCTGCATTCTGCCCAGATTTTTTCTACTCATGACCAGTTTAATCTATATGTAGGTCAACCAAGGCTAACTGTGACGAGACAATATCAAACAAGATCTGGACATTATTATGGAAACTAGCAAAAGAATGTGGCACAGAGAGAATCCAAAAGGGACGTGCACGAAATGTCGATCGTGAGAACATCATATAGCAGGCTAACGAAGAGTCCGACTCTGATTGAGATTGAATATTATCGTGTTTTTCCGAGAGATTGAGCAGGCGCAGGAATCCTGGGGATGCGTCAAATTTACGTTATCTTTGTTCTGACGCAGAGAGAAAAATAATGTTTGCGAGTTCAGCAACACACGGAGAGATCATACTATAAGTAATCTCTAACTGCTATTGCTAATTTTCTTCCTTGACAAATTTAGCATATTTATCCTTGCGGAGACAACTTATAGTTGTAGTTAAATTAGCATACAAAAAACAATTCAGACTGTAGGTGTAATTAGTCTTCGTCACTCAGTTTCCCGAATTTTAAATTAAAAAATAGAACCCGTGACTTTTTTTCTGAATAGAGCACGAAAAATGCTCTATTTAACATGTTTTTGCACAATTATGCATAGTTATATACATACACATATATAGATAAAATCAAAAGTGCATCTGGAAAGACGTGTTATTCACAAATGTGAGTACGTTTTATGGTATCCCGCATGGTGGTGCAGTTAAAGATACAACGCTCTCTACCAATATCGTCATATATATATTTAAACTTCATTGTGTTTTTTTTTGTTATTTAAAAAAAACGCAGGGTTTCTTGTCTCCAGAAATCTCTGCATAATAGCAAAAGAATTAAAATGAAAATAGGTCAAAAATCAGTGGGGGCATCATCTTTCGATTTTGCGCATTTCATTATGAAACAGTGGCACCGACAGCGTGTTACTTGACATTATCTGGGGCAAGTGTTCATTCCTCCATAGAAGTGTGACCGATCAAATTGTACGATATAGTTAAATCCTAGCGTTCAAGTCCTTGTGGCACGAAGGATGCAATTATTGAAGATTATAATCCATTGCTTGATGTTTACCATAAGAAACTTCGAAAAAGAAAGAAAATTTATTATATATCACCTTTCTAATGATTATTAGACTCCCCCCTCCCCCATATATATATATATATAGAGAGAGAGAGACAGAGAAATTGTATGTGTGAGGGTGTGTATGTGTTTGTAATGTACCCTCCTCCATATTACATGTACGTCTTCTATCAGACCGAGACAACTTCGTCATAACACATATAAAAACACGACATCTACTCGTGCACATACATTCAAATAATTACTGCTTATCTAAATAACATGAACAATGTCAGAGAGAATATGATTAATAAAAATAACAGTGGTTCTAACATTGTATCAAAAACTTGTGTTTAAAATCTTCTTAACTGAAAACAGGAAAACCTTTTTTGTTTTGAAAATAACTGAAATATTCACACTTACATTATTCAAGTTCTATATTTAAGATATATAATATATAGTCCTTTGCCACACATACCCTACAGTTTTATGGAGGCATAAAAAACTGTATATTAAACTGTAATACAATTTTATATACAATTATACATCGGTGAAAAGCATTATATACATGTATTTTTTATATTTATATAAAGAATTTTTAAATGACATACACAACTAAATATTATCATGAACAATAATGGTCCATTAAAAAAGCAATGACTGAAAAGTTATATATTGTGCAAAGATAGTATGCAGATCGAATATAGAGACTCGTGCACATACATTCAAATAATTACTGCTTATCTAAATAACACTAACAATGTCAGAGAGAATATGAATAACAGTTATCATAGATATATGATATATAGTCCTTTGTCAGCTTTATGGAGGCATAAAAAACTGTATATTACACTGTAGTATTTATTACAAGGTACGCATTATATACATGTATTATATTTATATAAAGAATATTACATTAAAAAATACAACTTTAATACCATAGTATCCTTGACCCGTCTAGGAGCTTACATATAAATATATTACATACAATAATACCATCCAAATATATAACTCTGATACCGTGGTATCGTTCATTATCTTATAATAATACACTTACATTTACTAAGATTTCAGCACTTGATCCCTATAACTTATAACATGTCCACTAAAACCGTATCGATTATAAAATCTCAAGACAAACATATGTTAACGTGGTCCTATCTATTTCTAGTGGATAAATTTAAATACATGTCATGGCCATTTCATTTCACAAAAGCAGAATAAACCTGACCGAACTAAACTGAATTTAAATCTCTTCTTACCTTCGCAAAATGTACGTTTTTAAAGATAAACAATGCTTTGTTTTGAGTCAACAAAGATACAGGCACACGAACTCGCGGGTAGACAAACACGTCCGTCACTTCCAAAAGTTCACCGTTTGTCCACCCTAATCAAAGTGGAAATATATTCTTTAGGATTTTTTCTTTCGAAGATAATTTGCCAACATCATGCGGCGGCTGCTAGATTTAACTGCTAGCTGACCCAGATATGAAGACAATATACATTTCCAAGGTCATTAAACAGCTCTATATATAACCACATTGGGTTAAAAGTCAGATTCTGCCAGGGCCCCAGCTGAGGTACGGCCCTCGACATGTATCTGCCATTGTCAAGCTCCAATCCCCTCACACACTGCCTTGCAGTCAACAATGGAAGTCTAATTATCATTTAATTACCTGTAGCTTTCGTTGTCATGACCTATTTTCATCGATTATATCTATTAATGACTTTCCTTGTTTGCGATTTACTGTAGTTAAGATTAAAATATTATTATACATATTCGTATGCTGAATTTAAAGGTCAAACATTTTCCAGATGCGAACATCTCGGAGTTATCGTTTTTGTAATATTATTATTTACCAAAATGTTTTAATACAAATTCCTATTTGCGCGCAAGAGTTTCCTCAGTATTATCCATCTTTAATATAAACAGTTCTTGTCAAAATGGCGACAACGTCCTGCAATCATCTCTTTTGACATTATTTTTGTAATTTTTAACACAGACCTATTTCATTACGAGCTGTCAAGAACATAAACATTCTTGACATTTAGACATAAATGTTTTACCGCTCTGTGCCTTGTCAAAATATGACATCATATCACTCTAATAGTTAACGGTAAAAACGGAATCCAGTCGGTAACTGTCGTAAACCAGTTTTACGTTTGTGATGGAGTATACGTCAGAAAGACTAGTTTAGTAGCCTGTCAATATCAATTTCTTTCTCTGGTTTCCAATAGAATTAACTATACGTAGTACATACCAAAACGCAATTATTTCATCCTATACTTTTTTGTCCGTGGATGTTCTCGGAAACTATCGATTGAGATGAATATATATTTTTTTAATAGAAAACGTGAGGCAAATGTTCGAATCGAATGTGATATGCTCAGTATATTGGTCGCACGTGCGTGAATGTGTGAATAATTATCGGAGCATGCGCATGCACTTATATACTTGTTTCTGAATCTAAAAAGGTACATGTAAATGAATGATGAGGCCACTCAAAGAGAAGAGCAAGCAAACATTTAACCTTTAGAAAGATTGGCTATATTTTCATATGACGGGCTTTTTTTCAACGAAACAAGACAATATTTGGAAAGAAGGAATACATCATGTCATATTTTGGCATCATCAGTTAAAGAATGCAAGGTGTACATACAACGGTTTGACATCCTTTTTTTTGCGGGTGGCAGTAAATACAACACTCACAATAAAACAATTATCCTATCCTACTCACAACATCAGGCGTTCTAATCAGTCATAACGTAACGTTGACATGTAAGGATGCCGTCATTATGTACGTTTTGTATTTACTGCCATCCGGTAAATTCAAAATTTGCAATATCACAAACTGCAAACGAAGAGCTTTGACCTATACATCTGTTTTGAAAGATGTCCACTTTACCAGTTGACACCATTTTCGTTGACATTTTGTAAACATAAATTATTAAACAAATTTCATACCGCATATTGACCGATGCTCGACAGGTCTTTCACATGGTAACCAGTATTTCAACTGACCTTTCACAGAGTTCAGCTAATGTAGCTTTTTATTCGTCATCAGTCCCTAAACCCTGCTGTATATGCGTCAAGACCAAATGTTACTCGACCATGTGTGTTGCTGATCCTCTGCATATGTTTACGATTCGAGGGACCTCTGACTGAATTCTGAGGTGAAGGTCACTGTCCTGAACATATAGATTATTCTATGTTCACCAACCCTTCTTAGATGTACTCTTTCAAGGTGCAAGTGTTCTAAACATCAACTTGCACAAAACTTCTGTCGTAAGTCCTCGATAAATTCGGCACATTTGTTCAGCTCCATTTCCTGCACTAAGATCTGCAGACCCCGATAGTTATTTATGACTTTTGCGAACTGAATTTAAAGTAACTGTAAGAGGAGACTTTGGCAAACACTTGTGTCATAATCCTACTACTTTGCACAAATTTACATCCATTAAGATCATTGTATGTTTGCATTTACGAAGATTATATGGATCTATTCAAGATTAATTTTTCCGAATGAATAATCAATTGGTTTCAAAATTTAACTTGCAAAAGCAGATCAATATTTAAAGAAACAGATTGTGTGAATTTTTTTTATCTAAATAACAATTTGAGTATCAGAAACTGGATGTGTTGATTAAATGCTTACAGGGGCGGATCCAGAAATTTTGAAAAGGGGGGGGCGATCAGTTTGAGGTCAGGGTAGGGGCCCACATTCACACCAAAAAAATTTGATTTCATGGCTTATTTCATGTTAATTTGATACATTGCCGATGAAAGATATACATTTAATTTGTTCAGTAACTTTGTTAATTTTTTAAGTAACTTATTCATTCTCCAGTATGAAACATCAAAACGGCAAACTTTAATTTGAAGAGATGAATTAGAGAAAACGATAATATACTATAATATCTATTCTACCTATTTTATTATCCAACTTCATCTAAACCTTATTATAACTTTATTTAAATCGTATAACAAGCATTATATGTACAAGGTAATATTGATATGATGAAGATACATCCAGTTTATTTTTACGTAACCACAATTAGAGATACGGAAATATTTGGACCAAAAGCTGTCAAATGTCACTTAAAGTTCCAATAACAAAATAAACAACGTGTTGGTCTGCAGACTGACCATGAACCCTGGCCTAATCCATAATCTGACTAATAAACATGCACAGGACCATACAGGACCAAACAACGCTAATCAGGTTACGACTTCTATACAGATGTTACATCGATTGATGCCTTATCCGGAAAAATATGGACAGACGGTTTTTATACGTTGACATGATATTTTTAAAAATAGCATTCATAGTTTTTTGCTTAAGTGTGTGTCTCTGACACTTGCATATATTCTGACCGAGATAAAGTGTACTTTTCCTGCATAAATATATCTGAAGGTTGGCGTGTTCTAAATATTTTTATGAATATAGATACTATATAGACCAAACTGTACAACACACATGTTGATAGCCCACTCCGACCAATGCTACTGAACTGAGCGGCTAGTGTTGTGTGCGTCGCCTGAGCGATGACCCATTTTACGGACACATGTGGCCAAAATTAATATTGCGAAGGTCAATAATACATTATATTTGTCGGCTAGTTTACCACATAAACTGAAGGGTTTAAAAAAGTTGAAGTAAGATAAATTGCGAAATGCAATCAGCTGATTTAAATCTTCATATTTACATTGGTATTGTTTGCTATGCATACAAATTACCAGCACGTTTGTGTTTTCTGACATGAATATGACGTATTTCATTCTGACATTTGGAAAACAATAAATCAAATGACATAAAATAACTAACCTGCTACGAAGAAAACAGTCTTTTGTCCCACTTCTCCTCGACAAGCCGTGAACATGGTGAAGGAAACCGTCCAGCAAAGCCGGATCGTGTTTATTCTATTTTTATCCACATAATCAGGTCAACCCAGATCCGCGCAATCGCATATTCGTGCTCCAGTACATCTTGCATAGCTTGAGGAGATATTTTTTCAAGCACGTGAAATGCGGTCGGGAAAACCTCCATATCCCAATTAAAGTATCTATTTGCATTGCATGCATTTTGTGCCGAATAGCTTCCGAGAGAAAATTATATTTATTGATTTACATTTATAAATGAGTGAATTGATCGTCATCGGAAAATATTGTATCATACAAAGCCATTGTTATGATTTTAAACGAGAAGTTTTAAAGCTTCAGTTCACTTTGCAAGAATTAAAAGGTACACTTGGTTCCACCGTCTCTGACAGAATTTTTCACTAAATATACAGTGTACATGCATTTGACAATGAATACTTCTTTTAGTGTTTTAAATTACTGAAAAAAGGAATATTTTTTTGCGATATAGTGTGCTTTTTGCAAATTTCGGACAACAAAAATGATCAAATCGAGTAATTTCGTTGTATTCGGTACCATTTGGAGTGTTCCCCAAAATGATTCTACGGACTCCCTACTATTGAAACCGAAAAGGACTCATATGGAAACGCCACCGTATACCGGCGGAGAGCTGCAAAGAGCTTAAGTCAAAAATTGGTCTGATTTTAAAATAGGACAATATTGCCTCTGGATATATCTATATACTATATATTTTTTCAAACAAACTTTCTTTTTTCAAAATCTCTTGCATATTTTCTGTAAGAGGTCTTCAAAATAACATATGTATATTGATGAAGTTCGTACGTTTTACGGAACGTCGTAATAACGTTGTGAATTTTAACACTTCTGAGTTCTCATAAATAAAGTTGTAAATATTTATTAATTGATGAGTATTTCACAAAAAAATGTATATTACAATATATTACAGATATTACTTCGATATTTTGTTAATAAAAGATATCTTTGAAATTATAACGCCAGGTATAAACAAGCTTGGGTACATGTACAATGTACAAGTGAAAATTACAGCGTGTCCTTTCAGCGTGTGCTTATCGCGGTACACGTAAATAATTAGATACATTGTGACGTTTTATTATTGGCATTGCTGGTGTTTTACTTGATAGCATTGTCAATACGTTAGATTTAAACTTTAGGAAGATTTATTGCATGTTGTTTAACGTCCCTATTGAGAATTTTTCACTCAAATGGAAATGCCACCATATACTAGTGGAGAGCTACAGATGTTGTCCTATGCTCGGCACTCAGGGTCATTGAGCAGTAAGGGATATTTTTTGTCGCAGAACTTACCACGACCTCTCAGTTTATACGGTCTCATCCGAAGGACCCGTTTCCATGTCAAATAATGGAATTCGAACCCGCCACTAAGGATCAAATTCTTTCTCCGCGACTCTAGAGCAGACGCTTTTACCACTTCGCCCGCGTGGCGACTTCATGAACAGTCTTTTCAATTTTCAACGTGTTTTGCTTTGTTTTTTTTATTTTTTTTATTTTTAGGGATGTGAATGTATTTTGGTGAGTTACAAATCAAAGTTTGAATTTTGATCCGCCTTAATAATTTTGGAAAAACCTTTTTCATTATTAAAGGGAACCAGATTACACTTATCGGTACGGTACTAGTATTGCTAATGTCATACTCTCCGAATGCTTGTCAATTTAAACAAGCAACTTCAAAGAATTCTGGTACCTTTTTCGGAGTCTTAAGGTAGTCAGGCTGCGATATTATAACTGACTTTTCTATATGTGTCAAGTCACGACTAAAAAAAATAGTAATATTGGAGAGACCTTTTAACAGGTAATGCAAAAGTCCTATATGCCATATACTCGTTCTTTCCTTCGAAGTCAAACTTCAAGGAAAGGGTCATGAGGTCAAAAAAGTCATATTGTATCTTTAAAGGTCTTATCAAAGGTAACACACGTGTCAAATACGAACACCCTACCTTTTTCATCATTTCTTATACAAAAAATCAAGTGAAACTTCACGGTCACGTGGTAAAAATGCCTATTTTGGAAATCTTCTTGACATGTATTTATCAAATATGAAAGCCTTTTCTTTTCTCATTCAATAGTTATAACCAAAGTAAAGTGTTGTTTTTAAAAGAATGATATTTTATGTACCTTATGTTTCGTTAAAGTGAAAAAGAAGAAAATTAGCTCCGGCTGTTACAGGAAAACGCTTATGGAGCCCCAGTTTGAATCCAACTTGGACTAAATTTTCTGCATGTGTCGGCCCACTTTGTCTTCCATTATGCCATAAAAAAAATCAACAGAAAGAGATTAATAAACCGGACTCGATGAAAAATCACATGCATGTTCGCAAGAAGAACTGTAGGTAATTCATCTTAGGATTTAATGAAAACAAATTTTCCAGGCCTCTGGAAAAGTAAGTCGTCTCAGGCATGCAAAGGAACAGAGATTTCATTAATAAAGGAATGACAATGATAATTGATACAGGACTAAACTATGATCATAGTTAGTAACATTAATCACTGCATATAGTCAGACTGAGAGACCAGAACAATCTACAATGTATGTATTAGTAAGGTGTCTGTTCTCTATCTCTTTGTCTGAAAATTTTCAAATCTCTCAAGGTCCCACATCATCCGCTTGAATTTTCATAAAACTTTAAAAAGTAAAATATATCAAGATGTCTAGTTCCATTCATTATTATTAATTAATTCCGATAATTACGTATTATCACCAAGCTGTATACAGGAGTTATGTCTCTCAGATACACTAGAGCAAGCTTTATGTATAAACACATTTCTAAAATGAGACAAGCTTTACACAAAAATGTTGATGAAACAAGGATTTCAACAATCTCGTTTGAAATCATTATTTCGATGAATATTTCGCAAGTTTGTCGGTCGATACAATGACCTTGTCAGCATATACATATAAAACATAACATTATATGAAATGCAGACTGTTGTTTTTCGTTCTATACTTGTATGATCATTTTTTACACACTGAAATCTCTAAAGTAGAGAATTCCATTTCACGACAAACACACTTGATTAGGACGGATTTTTTAATCCTGGCACCTGATCCCGCCACCGATATGTGTTTGCTCTTTTCCCAATTTATATTCTTTAAATTGACTTCAAGATTGAAAACTGTTTGCTATTACCATATTTCATAAAGTATAATTCGTGTTATGAACATAGACTTTAAGATGTTACAGTATTACACATATCCATAATGTTGGCAAAAGGAACTGCCATGCATATTAAACAAGAACAATCGGTAAAATTCCTCCAAACTCATAATCCCACAAGAGTTAATCATATGTCATTCAGAAGTTATCACCGAAGTTGAAGTAAGGTCAAGGGGTCAGAAATCATAGCATGCTCGGAAATACCTTGTCACAGGTAATACACATATCAAATACTGGTATGAAAAACCTTTCTCTTCTCAATCAAAAGCTTAAGGAACCAGAAGTCTCTACATCTGTAGGAGTAGCTTTTAATAAAATTTTACAGATAGCAATTTTAGTTACCATGGTTAGATCATTCATAAAATTAAATTTAAAAAACAATAAAGACAATAATGTATCGTAGTGTAGTCTACCTGCATGCCACATTATATTATAAATAGACTAAGTCTGTACTTGGAATAGCATTTTAAAAGTATTTTACTTTCTATTTTTTAGTTACCACGGCAACACTGTCCATCAAAATCAAAAACCGTTAAAGAGAATTATGTATCTTAGTGTAGTCTACTTGTGTGCCAAGTTATATTGAAATCAGACGAAAATTGTTGGAGGAGTAGCATTTTGAAAGCATTTCACAGAAATTTCTATTTTTAGTAACCATGGCAACACCCTTCATCTAAATCAAAAACCAATGCACAGAATTATGTGTCTTAGTGTAGTCTACTTGTGTGCCAAGTTATATAGAAATCAGACCAAAATTGTTGGAGGAGTAGCATTTTGAAAGCATTTCACAGAAATTTCTATTTTAAGTAGCCACGGCAACACCTTCATCGAAATCAAAAACCAATTCTCAGAATTATGTATCTTAGTATAGTCTACTTGTGTGAAAAGTTATATTGAAATCAGACCAAATCTGTAGGAGGAGTAGCATTTTGAAAGCATTTCACAGAAATTTCTATTTTTAGTAACCACGACAACACCGTTCATCGAAATCAAAAACCAATTCTCAGAAGTATGTATCTTAGTGTAGTCTACTTGTGTGCCAAGTTATATTGAAATCAGATTAAAACTGTAGGAGGAGTAGCATATTGAATGTTTTTCACAGAGATTTCTATTTTTAGTAACCACGGCAACACCGTTCATCGAAATCAAAATCCGATGCACAGAATTATGTATCTTAGTATAGTCTACTTGTGTGCCGCGTTATATTGAAATCAGACAAAAACTGTGAGAGGAGTAGCATTTTGAAAAATTGTTTACAGACAGACAGACAAACAGTAAGACAGACGGACGGACGACGGACGCATTATTATCGCAAAAGCTCTTCTGGTCTCTGACCAGTTGAGCAAAAAAATGACATTTTTGAAAAGTAGGTCAAACCTCAAGGTCACGAGATCAACCAGAAGTCTCTGTCGAGACTGTAGCTCTACTGGTTTGTACTTATAACAAAGGACGAGAAAAGAAGCCATTGCCATCATACCACAACTGTAGAAGGAGTAGCGTTTTAAAGGAATTTCACAAACATTTCTATTTTTAGTAACAATGGCAACACTATTCATCAAAATCAAAAACCGATGCAATATTTTATATATCTTAGTGTAGTCTACTTGTTTGCCAACTTATATTGCAATCAGACCAAAACTGTAGGAGGAGTAATGTTTTAAAGGAATTTCACATGAAATTCCTTTTTTTAGTAACCATGGCAACACCGTTCATTGACATCAAAATCCGATGCATTATTCTATGTATCTTAGTGTAGACTACTTGTGTGCAAAGTTATACTGAAATCAGACCGAAACTGTAGGAGGAGTAAATTTTTAAAGGAATTTCACAGAAAATTCTATTTTCAGTAACAATGGCAACACCGTTCAACGAAATCAAAAACCGAT